TCTTTTTTAAATCAAAATATCTTGTCGTACTTTACACGACTCTTAATATTAATGTATTCTCTTGCAGAAAAAAAAAAAAAAAAAGATTTACGCTCATCGTTAAGCAAATCTTTTCTTGACTTGTGTATTTTTCATGAAATTTGATGGAAAAGTTTTACTTTTTTGCCTTGTCTCTTTTTCGTGCGGCATATTTTCACAAGGGGCTGTCTGTGGATTTCAGCATTGCTGTGTATATTATTTTAAGTTTATGTGTCATCGTCTTATGTTTATAGAGACAGACATACAGACAGCTCGACAAGCAACCTCCAGTGAGATTTCCAGGCATAAGAATGGATAAGAAAAAACTGGGGAAAAAAGCCGGCCGTGAGCCTACATGAAAGGACTGCTCATCAGCAATACAAACGATGCTATTCAGTCGGATAATAAAGGAATTATGTGGATCATTAGACGGTAATGGCTGTGGGGCAAACAAGAAAAGGAGAAAAAGTGTATTTATTGATATACTATGCTGGCGATAAATTATGCGATAAATGCCCGAATGCTGCTGTGCAGTATTTTTTAGTTTCAACCTTGCTTTCCAAAATACTCCGGACACAATAGTTCAGCGGATTGGTATCCGGAGATTTTGGTGGCCATTGTGCGCTCGAAATGAAGCGAGGAACCGAATTTTGCAACCACTCTTGCGTGGCGCGTGCTGAGTGCGGTGGTGCTGAGTCCTTTTGGAATGTCCAAGGTCTGCGGTCAAAATGTTCAAATGTTCCTTCAGAATATTTTTACGATAATATTCGGCATTTATTCTGATGCCATGGTCGATTAATACGAGCGGAGAAGGACCATCGGCGGTTATGGCGCCCTACATCATCACCATGGCCGGAGCTTGAGTTCTGGTGGCCAACCCAAAGTGCACATTTTCAGCTGACCTGTTTGGCAAATAAACACCTCTTTGGCAAGTAAACACGTAATCATTTTGTTTGTTTACATCTGGGCAACGAATGTTTTCTCATCGGAAAAAACGAAATTCGACAGTGCACCACTTTTATCCAAGCGATGCAACATTTTAGCTCTTTTCAGTCTGTTTTGTTTCTGTTGCGGTGTAAGTTTTTGCACTTTTTGGAATTTCAATGGATTTACCGCGAGCTCATTTTTCAATATTTGCCGAATGAAATATTCAACTCACGAGCCATTTTTCGGCCACTGCGACGCGGGTTTCGATCAAGTCGCTTCTTTACTTTTCGAACAATTTCTACTGATGTTGCTGTTTTCTCCCGTCCACTTCCTTGACGTCGGGCTACGCTACCAGTATCACGGTAACGAGCGATGGTACGATACACAAAAGATTTATTCACATTTAAATGCTGGAGTGCTCTAACGATAGCCAATTACGGTTTTCCAGCCAAATATAAAGAAATCACACAATCACGCTTAAATTCCATCACGAAAAACTTTTTTCTGGAAAATTCTCATCAAAATGCTTTTGTTCGCTTGTAAACAATATAATGAGGTGTCGCTAAAATAATATTAACAGCTGTCGTACGGGTGGCTTAGAAATGACAACCGTCTGAAGTTGTTTGCAGTTTTTTCATCACATCATCATAATATCATCATCAAAATACCGAATATTGGGAGGTATCGTTATATGGAGCCAATACGAAGACGTGTGCCTGTATACGCAATTTATTTTCATTGTCTGTAGTACCCATTACGAATTTTAAATACGAAATGCGAAACAACTCCGGTGAATATCGTCAACATATCGAATATCGGGGGGTACCGTTGTATGTGGGCAATACGATATCGTGGACCTATATATACATTTCTCTTCCAGGGGATAAAGTGCTTAAAAAACTTCTAGTATGGATTTTTAGACAATTCCATTGAAAAATGTAGCTGAAATCATCAAAATACGGAATATCGGGAGGTACCATTATATGGGGGATATACAATATCGTGGTCCTATGTAGACAGTACTCTTCTAGGGGGTAAAGCACTCAGAAGGAACTCTTTTTGTGGATTTTCAGACAATTTTATTGAAAAATTTGGCCACAGTCATTAAAGTTCCGAATATTGGTGTGTACCGTTATGTGGAGGTTATACGATATCGTGGACCGTCTTAGATTTGTACGCTAATCAAGAATATATTTACTTTGTTATGTCGTAAATTATTATTACTTCGATGACATACAAACGGAATGACGAACTTAACATGCCCTCCTAAGCTCTGATAGTCCTTACAAAAATTAAAACATTTTCGTAATCAATCAAACTAATTCACATATCTATTAAATAAACATTAGGATATTTTGGATAATTACAGGGGTCCTTTCCAAAAAGCCTCTTTATGTTTATGACACAAGCCTCGGAAATTGTCAAGTATTTTGTCAAAATTTCTTCCATCTCACACTCAACTTCCCCACCACTTACCTTTTAAATCACACACAATTGTCACTGGCTGTGATGAAGGTCAGCCAAGAAATGCTAAAACTAAAAACAAAATCCAAAGACAAAAGCATGTCATGACATTGATACGCCAGTTCGTCAGTCAGTTAGGCAGTCAAGTGAATTTACTATTCAGACAGTTTTACTTTCTTTTTGTGTTTTTTGTTTTTCAGATACTCCTACAGTGGTTTATCTATTATTCATCTGCTATCTGGGCCCATAACAAGAAATTACCATTAATTTGCTTGTCTGGGGCTTCTCCATTCTCTGTTTTGCCAAGGTTTGCCTAGCTTTGGCTTCTGTGGAGTGGTGTGGTGGTCAGACAAGTCCTAGTCTGCGTAACGTGATTGTAATTGTGTCGCTGTCGTGTCATGTCTGTGTTGAGGTTTTTAATATGTATGTATGTAATTTGTATGTGTCACTATCGATTTCCGTTTGTTAGTTTTCCATTCTGTTTCCCTTTATTGCGACCCTGACATGAAAAATTCAAAATTATAACCAATTATTAATCCATTAACAAAAATTGTTTGGGGAAGTTTTATGGCGTCGTTAAATAGATGACAATATGAAAGGGCAATTGCGGATTACACTACAAGGAAGGGGAATTAAAGCTAAATTTTAAATTTTAAGGTTCCCATACATGCAAGGATTTTCAAGCGCCGTACATTGATAGCAGACCATGCTGAGAGTAGATATGTTACAGCTCTTCTATGGACAGAAGACCTGCCACCGGTTTTCTACAGATAAAATATCTGTTATCGATCCTCTAGGGACCGAAGACCTATTACAACTCTTCAACGCGCCGAAGACTCATTAGAGGTCTTCTATGAACCGAAGACCAATTAGAGATCTCTATACACCAAAGACCTATTACAGCTCTTCAACGCACCGAAGACCCATTACAGCTCTTCTATGCACCGAAGACCTATTACAGATTTACTATGCACCGAAGACCTATTACAGATCTTTTATGCACCGAAGACCTATTACAGCTCTTCAACGCACCGAAGACCCATTACAGCTCTTCTATGCACCGAAGACCTATTAAAGTTCTTCTGGGGACAGAAGACCTGTTACAGCTGTTCTGGGGGCAGAAGATCTTCTGGAGACAGAATATCTTCTACAGCTCTTCTGGGGATGGAAGATCTGCTACAGCTCTTCTGGGGATGGAAGATCTGCTACAGCTCTTCTGGGGCACAGAAGATCCGTTGCAGCTTTTCTGGGGTACAGAAGACCTGTTGCAGCTCTTCTGGAGCACAGAAGACCTGTTGCAGCTCTTCTGGGGCACAGAAGACCTGTTGCAGCTCCTCTGGGGCACAGAAGACCTGTTGCAGCTCTTCTGGGGCACAGAAGTCCTGGTGCAGCTCTTCTGGGGCACAGAAGTCCTGTTGCAGCTCTTCTGGGGCACAGAAGACCTGTTGCAGCTCTTCTGGGGCACAGAAGACCTGTTGCAGCTCTTCTGGGGCACAGAAGACCTCTTGCAGCTCTTCCGGGGCACAGAAGACCTCTTGCAGCTCTTCCGGGGCACAGAAGACCTCTTGCAGCTCTTCCGGGGCACAGAAGACCTCTTGCAGCTCTTCTGGGCTACAGAAGACCTGTTACATCTCTTCTGGGGACAGAAGACCTGTTGCAGCTCTTTTGGGGCACAGAAGACCCGTTGCAGCTCTTCTGGGGCACAGAAGACCTGTTGCAGCTCTTTTGTGGACGGAAGACCTGCTGCAGCTCTTCAGGGGACAGAAGATCTGTTACCGCTCTACTGGGGACAGAAGACATGTAGCAGTTCTTCTGGAGACAGACGGAATGAAATGAATCTTTTTTGAAGGAATTCAAAAATTCTTTTACTGGAAGATGATCATCTGAAGGTGTTCAATGTGTAAAAACTGATTTTTGGTCTTTTATACAAAAATAGAATTTATTTATTCAATAAAATAAACTATTTGTATTTATAAAACTTTTCTATATGTCATGTTGATAGAATCCTTTCATACACGCATTCGTCGGTGAAAAATCACGAAAATTTGTGTTCACAAAAATTATTTTTCAAACATGTCAACAATCGAGTTGGCAGAGAATAGAAAACTACATACATTAGTATTTAGTCAAAGTTCCATATTGTAGTACATGTGTTTGTACAGGACATACACATAAATATATTTAAAACCAAACACTTTATAAACCCCGCCACAATGGTTTTGTCATTGTCGATCCGTGTCCAAAAGTGTGGTCTTGTATTGTGTGTTGTGATTTGATGTTGATAACATCAGAAACCGAATAGTGACAACGGCATTGTTAATGGTTCGTTCCTTACCATCACATCGAACCAAACAATGGGTTACAGGTAGGAAGGTAGCTAGGTGTTGGGTGGATATGTGGTGGATGGGTGTGATACATTTTTAATGGAAGCAATGAATTCATTGTTCATGGTGGCTGGCTGAGGGTGATGTTGGTGTTGATGGCGATGGCTGATAGTATTAAGGAATATTGTATTGGCCTGGATTTTGTCTGTTCTCTCTTTTGTTTTGTTAAGGGAGAGTCATCCTCTTCCCTCGCTTTTGTTTACTTACCCCCAATTTAATGACACTCGTTACTATGGCTGCATTCCAACTGTTCTCGATGCGCAATAGCTCTTGTCGTGTCTCCACACTTAGGTAGCGAGGCTCATGTCCGGCACTCTGCAGCAGAAAACAGTGCTGGCGACTGTCCACCGTTTCGGATTCCTTGACAACACGAAACATTGTCTGATAGACTTTATAAACGACTAAGGCCTTTGTTAAACCGGCAACATTAAGCTGTAAAGATGGGAACGAACGAAATAATTGGTAGAGGCAATTCAATTAGTGTAATAGATAGACATGTCTGGGAGATTTTAGTTTTTTGGGGGGAATGGAGATAAAATTTGAGGGGCTTTAAAAAAGTGATTTAAATTTAATGATCTGTGATGGGAATTGTTAAGGATTTGTTTGAATAGAGGAATAAATTAATAACTTGATTATGTTAACTTTAAAGTCCTTAAAAATCTTCGTTGAGTAAATTTTGTCATATTATTCAGAATATTTCCTGTTGGTTTTTAAATGGTAAAATACGCCTCAAGTGACTCTAAGAATCTGAGAAGTGCTAAAGAATATTTTCTATATATGGGATGAATCCTGAAGGTGGAGAAAGCTGTCTATGAATATATTACATTTTGATGGTTTACTTTCGAAATATTTCTTAGTGATTTTATGCATTTTGAAGATACTTCGAAATTCTTCTATGATAAAGGAGGCGAGGAAACTGCTCCCACGAATAGAAGTCCTTCTATAGATCGTGAACCTCAAGATGACATTCTATGTATTGAAGATTCATTATGTATATAAGAGATTTTTAGGGTCATCTTTAAAGAGAATTCCAGAAGGCTTTAAAAAGGCCTTCTTTGTAATAAAGGCCCCAGACAATTTTCGGTGTAAAGACCCCCTAAAGTTCTCTGATGCATAGGAGAACTCTAAAAAATCCAATGTGTCTTCTTGAAATTCTTTCTGAAGATATTCTGTAAATTAATAAGAAAACCTTCTGCAGAACTTCGCATATGAGAAGATCTATGAAAGATTATAACGAAGAAAAGTTCTACCTTCTATATAAGAGTCTCCAGAATGACTTTGAGATATAAAAGTGTTTTAGAAGATATTTTTGTATAGAAGACATTCAAAAAGTCTCCCATGCTGAAAATATTTCCAGATTGTGTACAGAAGATGTATTCGACGTAGAGAAGATTACATATGCCCATCTGCGTATAGAAGACCTACAAAAGTCTATATAATTGAGAAGACATCCAAAACGTTTTCGATCTATGGAGAGCCTTCTGAACGTCTACTGCATACAAAACACCTTTAGAAGATCATCAGTGTACAAAAGGCGCTTCGACGGTCTTCAGTGTACACTAGACCTCTTGATCATTTTCATTTAATCATTTAAAATCCTTAACATTTAGGGAACTTCACAGAAGAAGAAAAAACAAATTTTAGAAATTTGAAAATACACAGTCTCATTTGCTTTGAAAAACGATTTTTAAAAAATGACTCCTATTTATTTCTTAAAAAATAATTTTTGAAAATATTCAGTACAAAAATGAAATCAATAAAGAATAGACTAGATATTCTAGTTTCATTTGTTGTGAAAGAATAAATTTTAAAAAATCCACGCCCATATATTTCTGGAAAAACTATTTTTTTAAAAAATCCACGTCTATTAAAATTTTTTAAAACTAATTTTTTAAACTCCGCCACCATTAATTATTTTAAAGACTAATTTTTAAAAATCCACGCCTTTTATTTTTTTTTTGAAAAAATAATTTTTAAAAGTCAACGCCTTTTAATTTTTTTTTAAATCCACGCCTTTTATTTTTTTTTTTTTGAAAAAATAATTTTTAAAAATCAACGCCTTTTAATTTTTTTTAAATCCATTTAAAAAACCAAGTTTTTAAGTTTTTTAAATCCATTGTTAAAAATCAACGCATTTTAATTTTTTTAAATCCATTTTAAAAAAACCACGTTTTTAAGTTTTTTAAATCAATTTTTAAAAATCCACGCATTTTAGTTTTTTTTAAATTCATTTTTAAAAATTCACGGCTTTTAATTTTTTAATCCATTTTTAAAAATCCAAGCTGTTTAATTTTTTAATCCAGTTCACGCCTTTTTTTTCAAAAAAAAAAAAAAAAAAAAAAAAATTAAAGTCCACGACATTTAATTTTTTTAAAAAGGATAATTTTTAAAAATCCACGCCTTTTGATATTTTTGAAGAATAATTTTTAAAAATCTACGCCTTTTAATATTTTTGAAAAAATAATTTTTAAAAATCCACGACCTTTATTTTTTTTGATAAAATAATACTTATGTCTTAAAAAAATAGTTTTTAAAAATCAACGCCCTTTAATTTTCTTTAAATATTTTTAAAAATCAGCGCCTTTTATTTTTTCTTGGAAAAAATAATTTTTAAAAATCCACGACCTTTAATTTTTTTTGAAAGAATAATTTTTAAAAAATCCACGCCCTTTAATTTTTTTTTAAAAAATAATTAAAAATAATTAAAAAATAATTTAAAAAAACACGCCTTTTATTTTGTTTTTGAATAAATAATTTTTAAAAATCCACGCCCTTTATTTTTTTTTTTTAAATAATTTTTAATTTTTTTTTAATTTTTAAATATTTTTAAAAATCAGCGCCTTTTTTTTTTTTTGGAAAAAATAATTTTTAAAAATCCACGACCTTTATTTTTTTTTGAAAAAATAATTTTTAAAAAATCCACGCCCTTTAATTTTTTTTTTTAAATATAATTAATAATAATTAAAAAATAATTAAAAAAAAAACGCCTTTTATTTTGTTTTTGAATAAATAATATTTTAAAAATCCGCGCCCTTTAATTTTTTTTTGAAAAAATAATTTTAAAAATATCACGGCTATTTATGTCTTGAAAAAATAATTTTTAAAAATCCACGCCCTGTAATTTTTATTTGAAAAAATAATTTTTAAAAATATCACGGCTATTTATGTCTTGAAAAAAAATTTAAAAAATCCACGCCTATTTATTTCTTGAAAAAAAAAAAATTAAAAAATACAAGCCTATTAAAAAAAATTAAAAATCCACGCCTATTTATGTCTTAAAAAATAATTTTTAAAAAGTCCACGCCTACTTGTGGCTTGAAAAAATAATTTTTATAAGATCCGCGCCTAGTCATGTCTTGCAAAAATAATTTTTAAAAAGTCCACACCTACTTATGTTTTGAAAAATTATTTTTTATAAAGTCCGCGCATAGTTATGTCTTGCAAAAATAATTTTTAAAAAATCCATGTCGTGAAAAAATAACTTTTAAAATATCCGCGCCTTGTTATGTCTTAAAAAAATAATATTTAAAAAATCCACGGCTATTTATGTCTTAAAAAAAAACTCGCAATTTTTTTTTTGAAAAAATAATTTTTAAAAAATCCTCGCCTATTTATTTCTTGAGAAAATAATTTTTAAAAAATCCTCACCTATTTATTTATTGAGAAAATAATTTTTAAAAACTCCTCGCCTATTTATTTCTTAAGAAAGTAATTTTTGAAAATCCACGTAAATTTTTTTCTTAAAAAGATAATTTTTAAAAATCCACATATAAAGATACTTTTTAAAATAAATATTTTTTTCAATCCACGCCTTTTTTCTTAAAAAAATATCTTTAAAATAACTTACTTTTTCTTTAAAAGTAATAAAAAATATATGTAATATTTTCTGAAAATATCCTTGCCTATTTATTTCCTCATATATTTAAATCCATTTTTATTTATTGAAAAATATCGAATGAACATCCTGACGTGTTATTGGTATTTGATGGCCATTCCTATTTCATGGCTTTTTCCGTTTTCCTTTCCATAAATGCTTGACAATATAAATATATTTTCAAGGAAAAGTATTTTCACAAAAAACATTACACTTATTTTTAAATGATTGTCAAACCCTCCATGTTTCTTAAACATACTCACTTTATTGTATTCAAACTCCCCACATTAATTCTATAGCCAAACGTTTCGGCACTTATAAATAATAAAAGTTTTCTCATGTTTTTTTTATTTGCCAGCCATATTTTTTGTCTATTCGGTCTAGTTGTCAAGGTAAAGAAAGATCATAAAACTTTTATTCCCATTTTTTGTTGCTGTTTTTTCGTATCAAACATTTTGTACAGGGTGAGATAAAAAACTGTAACAAATTTCAGACTGCTGTCATTTGTAAGCTACTCGTCCGACAGCTGTTAAAATTATTCCAGTGACAAATCATTATATTGTTTACAAGCGTACAAAAGCATTTTGGTAAGTATTTTCCAGAAAAAAAGTTATTCGTGATGGAATTCAAGCGTGATGTGTAATTTCATTATATTTGGCTGGAGAACCACAAGTGACTATCGTTTGAGCACTCCAGCATTTAAATGTGAATAAATCTTTTGTGTCTCGTAAAATCGCTCGTTAGCGTGATACTGGTAGCGTTGCCCGAATTCAAGGAAATGGACGGAAGAAAACAGCAACTTCAGCAGAAATGGTTCGAAAAGTAAAGAAGCGAGTTGATTGAAACCAGCGTGGCAGTGGTCGAAAAATGGCTCGTGAGCTGAACATATCACAATAATCCATTCGGCAAATATTGAAAAATGAACCATTGGAATTCCAAAAAGTGCAAAAATAGACTTAAACGAGCTAACGCTTGGCTCGATAGTAGTTAACTAACGAATTTGGTTTTCTCCGATGAGAAAACATTCGTTGTCCAGCAGTCTGTAAACAAACAAAATGATCGTGTTTACTTGCCAAAGAGGCCAGCTGAAAATTTGCTGCTTCGGTTGGCCACCAGAACTCAAGCCACGGCCAGGGTGATGTTGTGGGCCGCCATAACAGCCGATGGACACTCTTCGCTCACATTGATCGACTGTGGCATTAGAATAAATGCCGAATATTATCTCGAAAATATTCTGGAGGGTGTATTAAAGCCTTGGCCATGCAAACATTTTGGCCGCAGACCTTGGACATTCCAAGAGGACTTAGCACCATCCCACTCAGCACCCGCCATCCAAGAATGGAAGTCCCTCGCTTCATTTCCAGTGCACAATTGTGACCAAAATCTCCGGATACAAATCCGTTGGACTATTGTGTCTGGAGTATTTTGTTAAGCACACTGGCACTAAAAAAATACCAAAGTGTCGATCACCTCAAATAAACGCTTCACCGGGAATGGGCCATAATACCGCAGAGCAACATTCGGGAATCGTGTGATGGTTTCCTTGGCCGTTTGAAGG